AGCAGGAATTTTACAGAGAGAAGAAAAATAATTACCTGTAGCTCTGAGGCCATGAAGGCTGGTTAGAATCTTCACGTCCTTCATAGCGTTCATTCGTATCGAACGAACGTGGCGAATTATCACCATTAGAGGAAGAAGAAGAAGAAGACGAAGAAGATGAGGACGACGAATGAAAGTCAGGCTGCCTTATCGCCTGGTTTTCTTCATCATCCTCCTCAAACTCAAAACCCCTATCCCGCCCTAATTCTTCCTCTGTATTCATCCCCGTTAAACCTTAAGAGAAATAAAGGAGGTGAAATCTGGAACGGGAGGTTTAGGTTTAGGTCTGGTTTTAGAATGGAAGATAGCCAGAAATATATTGCAAGGCGGGATTAGGGTTTGTTTAGACAGATGGCAGGTTGTTAATGGTATTATTGACAGGGGTACGCCTATATGTGGCGCGCGAGTTCTTTCCTTCGAAGTCGAAGTTGGCGCGTATCGTTGGTTCATCATTTAATTTTTTTCCTAAATAATAATTATATATATTTTTTTAAAATATATTGAGCTAAAATTTCGTAAATAATTTTCTATAAATATTTATGACTAACGAAGTCCAGTAATATGAATCGCTACATAAAATTTGGGATTAAGGATTTAATGGTGCCCTCATTAATTACATTTCTCCAAAAAAGGATACATGTATCATAGTGATTAAGAATATTGCATTTTGCTATAAATGGAGAGGAATTAAAAATTAAATTTTAGTTACTTTTTCGTTTATGATATTTGGTTATAGCCCAATTTTTTGAAAAAAAAAAATTACTTATTTCGTTTATGATATTTGGTTATAGCCCAATTTTTTTGAAAAAAAAAATTACTTATTTAAATGGTTCACTAGAAAAGAAAGAAAAAATGGCCTGATTTATTCAAAGAATACTTTGACTCAAGTGTCAATGTACCTTTCAGGTATTATTTTTTGGACGAATTTTTAAAACAGTTATGTTACTTAATTAAATTAGTTAATTCGATAACTAAAAAATAAAATTTAAAAATAGGTACAACCTCCTTAGCTTGCCACGTAATAGCGGTGATTCGGCAAGTAAAATTTATGTATTACTATTTTTTTCACATTTTCAATCTATGGTGTCGCGAATAGAAATAAGTGTTACGTCAGGCAACCGAACATAAGTTACGTCCAGACAATGATTGTGATTCAATGAAAGGAGCAGAAGAGTGTTACGTCCCTAATCGCATCAGTCTCTCCATTCTCCAATAATATTTTGAGGTTTGCCGGCATTCTCCATTCCTTCCTTTGTGAAAAGTCGGTGAGCCCTTACATTGTTGTTTTAAATATTTATTTTTACCATGTTATACGATTTTTTTTTTTTTTCATTTCGAACATTTTGTCACGACTTCATTTTCGCTGTTTATGTATCACAAATCGCAAACAGTGAAGATCGTGAACGAAGCGCCAACCAGGTAACTCTAACCCTCTTTTTCGCCTCCTTCCCCCTCTACCTTGTTATTTGGGAAAAAAAAAATGTATCTTTTGATTAATGGTTTAACTGAGTTAACGATGGATAGTAAATTTTCTTAAAAACTAAGGATTATTGGTTCTGCCAAAGCTGGAGGAATGAAGCAATATGCATTTGTTTGTCTTTTTTTTTTTTTTTTTTTTTTTTGTTTTTGGTTTTTTTTTTTTTTTTTTTTTTTTGGGTTATGTGTTTTTTATCTATTTTTTTTTAGTTTAATGATATTTATTTAACATCTATGAAATGCAGAGTGTTTGATTCAATGTTATTATTTAAAAAAAATGCAATTTTTATTTAGAAAAATAATGAATGATTTTGATTTGATATTTTGTTTTTGCTTTCATTCAGTTTAGTTTTCTAATTGGCTAACATTTGGATATCGATAAATTTGGCCACACTCTCGTAGCAATGAAATAAGCTCCAGGGCTCATTTTTGGTGGCTGCAACTATTTTTGCAAAAAAATTCTATGTGTGATTGATTGTTTAAATATTTGGAATAGTTTTGGGATCCTCTTTGGTCCCAGTTTATGTAAGTTTTTATTGTGATAACAATCTATTAAGTTCTATTAATTAGAAAGAATGATGTACAACTTTTTGACTTCTATGTATGACCATTATGGATGGAAAGCTTAAAATATGGAAATTTTGTGTTGTAAATAACATTGTAATTGTCTTGAACTTGAAATTTAGAGTTGAGAATTCATCTTTTCAAATTAAAAGACTCAATATGGTAATAAAACTCATATGTTGACTTATTTTTCATTTTTTATGAGCAAAGTGACATTACAATCTAAGAGATGAATTCTGGATCAATTTGTTCGATATTAAAGTTTGACGGACACCAAACTATCAATGAAGATTATGCACCCTCATATTCTAGTGGAACGAAACGTCCTATTCAAAGTCGCAAGCAAGCAAGTCTTAGAGAACTTAAGAACCGGTTCTTAGGTCTCTTAAATATAATTTGTTAAGCTTCATTGTTAACTTGATATGTCATTTTCTTATTGGGAATGAGTTTATTTCATCCCACATTGATGATGAAGTTTCTGAGGTCGTTATGAGTGCGGCTTATCAAAAATTATTGGTTGTCTATGTTGAGGTCAAAAAAATTGATAATACTAAACTACACTTGAATAACTTTGAAGTTCAATTGACAACCATATTTTGTACGTAACATGTGTTTATACACGTTACTATTATTATTTATTTATTTATGTTTCTATTAATTCTTCTCCATTTGAAATTATAGTCCCATTCCATACCATACAAATAAGGTTTTGCTAGTGAACCGACATTAGTACAACATGTTTCGATTTCTATTGCTACTCAAATTCGACATTCTGACATTAGTCAAAATATGGAGAACATTAATGAGAATTACAAAACAATGTTGAGCTCTTCAAACAACAATTTTAGTCAAAATTATTGTGAAAAATAACAACAATAAAACAAAAAATAAAACGAGAAATTCACAAAATAGAGAACAAGCAGACACACAGATTTACGCGGTTCGACAAATTGTTTACGTCTACGGAGTTCAGAATATTTTATTGCTTTGAAAATTACACCGTCGATCTTCTCGACAAACAAGAAAAGGTCTCTCTCTCTTCCTCTCTCTCTCCTCACCTCCTCTCTCTCCCTCTCTCTCTCTC